GTTTTGGGGGTCAAGGAGTAAAGCTATGAAAAAACACGTAGCGTGTAAAATTTTGAGTAAACTAAGGAAAATACAAAGCAATAATAATATTTGCAAAAAGGAATTATTTAGGTATGGAAAAATAGCAAAATCCGTTAAAAATGTTAATGAAATTTACCAAATTTTGAAAGTAGGGCGTATTTTGAAGGTTAAGGAGTGCGATTTTCAAAAAACGCTTAATAGTGTCTTGTAGAAATTTAATTCGGAACCTACGATTTCCCCTCAAATAGTTTCTAGCTCTTACCGTTTTCGAGCTATAGCCGTTTGAAAAAAACGTAATTAGTCATTTCAGAGGTCCGCCATTTTGTATTTTTGGGAGGGTTAAAAATTGAAAATGGGACTTTTGCAAATTGCCCCGTTAATTTAGGATACCATACTACATTACTACCAAATTTCAAGTCTCTAGCACGTTTCTAAACGATTCAGATGATCATAACAAAGTCATTGAAATTCAATGTTATTCTCCATAAGAATAACATGGGGCTCGTAAAAACTTTCAAATTTTGACATTAAAATTAAGTTTTGGGGGTCAAGGAGTAAAGTTACGAAAAAAAGGCAATGAGTAACATTTTAAGTAAAGTAAAGAGAATACAAAGCAATAATAATATTTGCGAAAAAAAATTTTTTAAGTATGAAAAATAGCGAAAACCGGTAAAAATTTGAAAGAAATTTATTAAATCTTGAAATTAGGGCGTGTTTTGAAGCTGAAGGAGTGCGATTTTCGGAAAACGCTGATGAGCGTCTTGTAGAAAATTTAATTCTCGTTCATGAAAATTATTTCAAATCTTTTCTAGCTCTTACTGTTTTCGAGCTACAGCTGTTCGAAAAAAAACGTGTTTTTTCGTTTTCAGAGGTCCGCCATTTTGGAATTTTGGCGGGGTTAAAATTTGGAAACGGGACTTTCGCAAATGTCACCGTTAATGTAAGATCCCATACTACAATACTACCAAGTTTCAAGTCTCTAAATGGGGACACCGAAACTGCCACGACGTTTTACGATCATGCTCCATACTGAAACTGCCACGGCAATTAGTGAGGATTATAAGGGTGTTTTTGAGAGGGCTGGAAACACTGAAACTGCCACGGCGGATTCCCCAGATAGACGGGGAGAAACGGGAGACTTAAAATTCCCATTTCTGTCTTCAACCTTTTGATTTCTTTAACAATGATACGTTGATTGGAAAAACAATTGATTGATTTGCCCATTCGTATCTATATTTTAGGAGTTATTTTTATGTTAATTTAAGTTTTTAGTGTTGCGACTGTTAGAGTATTTACTTTATAAGTATTTATCCGTCTCTTGAGAATATATTTACTTTAATAAATAATTATTTACCACTAAGAAACTAGTTTCATGTTCATTTACCACTTATATAACACTGCATTTTATATGATCTGTTCGACGCTTTTAATTACCCTAGAGGTGATCAAATACTAATATAATACTGTAAAACTGTAATGTTCAAAAATAGTTTTATTCGCCCAAGACGCTAGGTTGCAGAACTACAAATACTGTACCAACCTCCATGGTCTGCAGAGGGGCGTTCACCTGGAATCTCAGTGGAATGCCCTCCTATTAGCTTGACTCATGTAATATTTTTCAAATTCGGTATTTCTCAACAGTTTTGTGCCATCCTTCAGAGAGTTAGTAGTAAGGGTGTTGGTGTGTTAGTTATACTTAGTTGATAGTCTTTCGATGGAGGATAAGATATTTGAAACGAAGAGAAGGGGTGCGGTGTTGTTAGTAGACGGTTACCGTTTTGTTATACAAAGTATGGTGTTAATAAATGATTTTGCTAGAGAAAAAATCGGGCAGGATGTCGAGCAAAATGCTTCACAGATTATATATAACAACGAGTAACAGTAACTGAAACGATTTTAACGCGTACCATTCTTCAGTCACTGTAGTGGGTTGAGTTTAGATAGAGCTAGACCTCGAGCTTTTGTCGATATTCTTTCTTCGATACATATTTCTTCGACTAATGGCCTATTAATATGAGGTATCACTCGATGGGGTCACCAAAATAACCCATTTTGGGTATAAGAACAAAATTTGAATACAACAAAAATTCACTTGCGTGATATAGAGACGTGTACAGAGTTTTGTTTTCTTGGTGTAACCCATTAAAAAGTTAACTGGTGATGTCCATACTTTTGCCCAGGCCTGTATATGTGAATAAACAAAATTTATAATTGAGGTATATTACTAAATAAATATGCAAAAACATACACCGAGTCTCATTTCATTCTAATTAAACATGAGAAAATGAGAAGCAAATTCGTGTTGATTTCCCACCAGGTGTAACATCCGTGACAATTTTCTGTGATCATAGAAACGACCGAGATTATTACTTGCGATCACGGAAACGCCTAAAAATGGAGAATCGTCGTAAGAAACTTTAACGAACATCCGTGATCTTATGCTCATGGCCAAATCCGTGATAATTTTTGCCATCAAACATGATCAAACACAGAAATAACTGTGATGGTACGACCGCAATGATGATGACCGATGATGATTTCACAATTGCGCCAACATTCGCATTCATCTCCATCGATTATTTTAACACCCGTAACTATTTTTCGCGATCGACGAAAAATTAATGATCATCTTGCATTTGCGGCTGGTTTTATGCACCGCGACAGTCGCGAGTCGCGAGTTGTGTTATATATTTCGATGGTCGCGAGTCGCGCCACGTCTTGTGGCTTTCAAACAAAATTTTTAACAAACTTTAACAAACATCCGTGATAATTTCTCGCGATCAAACGCAGATATAACTGTGATGGTAAACTACGACCGCAATGATGATGACCGGTGATAATTTCACAATTGTGGTGACATTCGTATTCATCTCCAGCGAATATTTTAACACCCGTAACTATTTTTCGCGATCGACGAAAAACTAATTATCATCTTGCACTTGCGGCTTAGTGTGTGATGATTTATCGATATTGCGCCAATATTCGTGGCCATTTCTACAGTAGTTTCTGGCAATGGCGTTTTTCGATTACGCAAAACGTGTAAACTCTGTGTTTTCGGGTGGATTTTACGGCAAATATTTGACCATTTTTATTTCCCGGTTTCTTACTAAATTCAATTACACTCATGGACTTTTTCCTGATAGTTAAAATTCACGTGCTATTCCCGGTTTCTAGGTTGGCAGAATTAGGTGACCCTGAATTATCACTTCAAGTAGCCTAGGCTAATTAAGATTTATTTTTTATCAACCGTATCTAAAATGTATACTGTTCAATTATGAAGTTTTTATCTGGTATTATTAATATAAACCTGCACATTATTCGCCTTATGTATACAAGTATAATTGTATCTGTATATTTCTTGGCCTAGTCTTGTATTTTATTTGTATTTCGTACTAAACAAAATCTGGACAGACTCGAACTCAATTCTGTGTATTCTAGTCATCACAAAGGATCTCCTATGCTGAAAAGCATGTTTTCATGGTATTCCCAGCTCATTTCTAAATACATTACCTCCACCGCAGCCCGCAGCAAACCTGCACACTAAGTGAATTTCAATTTGTTTGATTGGATTCTTACTAAAATTGTCCGTCTTGTTATACAAAGTGTGGTGTTAATAAGTGGTTTTGCTAGAAAAAAAAACAAAAAACGGGGACAAGACATATTTATTCCCCATTTAAATAACATTAGATTTAACAAATACCTAGGGTTTACTGCTACGGCGAGGTTAAAAAGTGTTTTTTTTTTCAAAATATTAATAATAGTATAGGATGAAATCAATAAATTCACCAAATATTATCAACATATTTATTACAATTGTGTTTTATTTATACTTCAGGACATGTATCCTGTTGTGCTATTATTTGCATTAGATTATGTTTCTTCTTGTGCAATTTTGACGATGCCTACCTACACCTTGGTATATTTATAAACTTAAAACTTCAAATCTAATGATAAAATATGTTGTTTATCGAGTTCTTTAACGCCAGTAATTCACTATAACGGGTTAAGAGCATTCATATAATACATTTAGTAAGAAACATTTTACATTCCATTGCAATCTTAATCCTTTAGAACATATTATTTAATTATTTCTAACTTCATCGGTAGTTAAATGAATTTTTCTATTGATACTTGATTTAAAATAAGTACAAAGTTAGTATGGCCTCTTTTAAGTAGCGACATGAAAAGTATTTAACTAAGTTATGAGCAAAGTAAAGTGTTGTGTTTCAAAATCGTCACTGTGATGAGTGAGGGATATTCACACTCCCGTTTCTCCCTGCACGTTGCCAAACCAACCTCCCCTTCCTGAGGAATCCGCCGTGGCAGTTTTAGTGTTTCTAGCATTCTCAAAAACACCCTTATAATCCTCACTAATTGGCGTGGCAGTTTCGGTATGGATTATGATCATAAAACGTAGTGGCAGTTACGGTACAGCCCTCTAAATGCAACTTTTGAGAATTTTCCCGGGGTTTTGGTACCAAGACTGACAATCGTGCCAAATTTTAACTCCCTAGCACTTCTAGTAGTGGTCTATAATTTGTATCCCCCAGTGAGTCAGTTACACAAGCGGCTGTATATAATTTAGATAACACCTACAATGCAAATGAGAATAAAATGTTGACGTGCCTGAACCTTCCGATTATATCAATCGTTGTTAATTTTTTATCCCCATCCTATGTTCAGTGGCGAGTTACACATGATAAAGAGATGATTATTTCATAACTGACAAAACATCACGCAACAATGAATACAGTTTGTCACGTAGACGTTTTGTGTCAAGCCGGCAACAGATCTCCAGTACAAACTTTTCATGCAGACTACACTTAAGTGTTCATAGATGTTGACTTCGTGTTGTTTATGTTGTTGGCCAGTTTAAGGCTGTGTGATACGAGAATTATTCTGGGCTCTGACAACGCCAGTGAAGATCATTACTTTACCGATTTTCTGCAATAATAGTTCTGCAATTTGGTATCGATAATATGCCAGATTCAAATACACTCGAAGACAGGGTAGTCTCTCTCGAGGTAAGCTTCAAAGACATGCAAAAACTTATTAGAAGAAAACAATTGGCTGGTTTTGAAGATAAAAATATACACGTAACTCTGCATGGTGCAGATTTCGCCATTACAGGATTGTACAACAGAAAGAATTTAAAAGAAGTGGAAGATGATTTTGGACGTAAAAAAACTTATACTCCGAAGGTAGAAAAGCCTTTGCCTAATCTCATAACTTTCTACATCAGAAGATTTAAGGAAAACCTGACATACAATGTTCTATGGGCCTTTGTACACGTGCTTGCAGCTATTGCCAGTGGTTATTATATCAAGACTGCTCTAGATAGTTGGCAATCATCCCCAGTAGTACAAGCAACGTCTAACAGCCAGGTTCACATTGACAATTTGCCATTTCCTGCACTCACTTTCTGCTGGCCTTTCCAATTTCATAGTGACTATGATTTTCGTGGAGATATTGAAAACTGTCTTGACTGTGAAAACCATGTTTGTACTCTCAACAGTGACACATGCAAATACAAGGAAATGAGAAGACTCGTGTTGGCTCACCAAATGTGTCTAAAATATGGTGATCAAAATTCCCTACCGCCAAATATTTGGAGCCAAGAGCACGTTCAAGATAATTTTGGTGAAGAAGAGTTTAACGAATATTTATCGGAACTTGTACCTTCGTGTGATTCTCAGTCTCTGATCGCTCGATTGGGAATAAAATCGGCGCCCGATCTTATACAGTCCAGATGTGATAGCGATGTGTTTCAGCAGTTTTATTCGCCTCAGAGAAGAATATGCATTACTTATAACAGTTTGCGACACAAAGACATCCTTCAAGATGACGTAGTTACAACTATACCGATGGCTAATACGGTTCCAAACAAAGGCCAGCTTTGGACACTCGATAACATGATGGAATTCAAAGGAAGTTTAAACTCTACTCCCATATACGGTCTACCCAGTTACGAAATGTCACCTAATATACAATTAAATAACTCTGAGAACATGTGTGAATTCACGGTCAACGAATTAATTTCCATTGTGATGCACAATCCAAACGAAATACCCTTGAATGCTAATTATGGTAGTGACATACTTGTGCATAATAAGATTAATGTAATTATCTTGATAACTCCTAGGATAACCTTAGCGAGGGACTTGGAGCAGTACACGCCCCAACAGAGAGGCTGCTATTTCGTCCACGAGAAGAAACTTACGATGTTCAAATTTTATACGAAATTTAACTGCGATGTTGAATGTTATATCAACTCCACCATCAGTTCGTGCGGATGTGTCCCCATGTTATACCCGAGGCCAAACAATTCTGTGAAGGTTTGTATTGGAAAATGTGAACCGAGTGTGCAAAACTGTGATTGTTTGCCGGACTGCAATTCTCTCAAGTACGAATTAGTGACAAAGGATTTACCGATGAATGAAGAGGTAATAGGAAATATCACTTATTTTGGTGGCGCACAACTATGGTTTACGGAAAACTATTACTACACAAATGTCCGCTACAGCATCACAAGTGCCAAAGAGTTCCTGGCCTACTCACTCGGCGTGCTGGGAGCGTTCCTGGGGTTCAGTGTTACTTGTGTGTGGCAATTTGTATACTTGGGTGTATCAAGACTGTTTAAATGCAAGAGCCCAAAATAAAAATACAATAAATAACACACCAAAATATTAGTTTTTAAATTTTACCTGATGAGGATTTCACATTAAGGGAATTTTAAAGGCCACATGGGCAGAGCCCCAAGGGAATAAACCTAATTTATTTGTTGATAGCAAATCTTCAGACCAAGACACTTCTACCAAGTTTCTATGCCGAACACTTCTCTTAATTTAGTAGAGCCAGATTAAAACCTATTTCTAATTTAGTGATAGAACTGTTTGATTTATTGTGATATGTGTATCCAGGTTGAGGCACGTCAATAACCAAACGCATATACACACTACCACACATATACTATTTTACCACAGTGTTTCTACTTAACGTGAGTTTTAAAGAAAATATGTGCAGCGCATCCACGACCGAAGACAAACTTCATTCTCTTGAGGTGAGTGTTAGGAACATCCAAGAACTTATCAGAAGAAAACAGTTGGCAGGTTTTGAAAATAAAATTATTCTAAAAGAAAACTTATTTCCTAAACGCATACCTTTCTATATTAGAAGATTTAAGCAGAACCTGACATACAACGTTCTGTGGGCCTTTGTACACGTGCTTGCAGCTATTGCCAGTGGTTATTATATCAAGACTGCTCTAGATAGTTGGCAATCATCCCCAGTAGTACAAGCTACGTCTAACAGCCAGGTTCACATCGACAGTTTACCATTTCCTGCGGTTTCAATATGTAGGCCTTTCCAATTCAATCGTGATTATGATTTTCGTGGAAAATTTGAAAACTGTCTTGACTGTGAAAACCGTGATTGTACTCTCAAAAGTGACACCTGCAACTACACAGAACTAAGAAGACTCGTCTTATCTTACCAAATGTGTCAAAGATATGGTCATCGCAATCGCCTGCCCCCAAATATTTGGAATCAAAGTCACGTTGAAGATGATTTTGACGAAGAGGAGTTTAAAGAATACATCTCGAAAATCGTACCTCCGTGTGCATCTGAGTCTCTGGTAACTCGAATGAAGATACAATCAGCGTCTAATCTATACCTATCCAGATGTGATAGCGATGTGTTTCAGCAGTTTTATTCGTCTCAGAGAAGAATATGCATTACTTTCAACAGTTTGCGACACAAAGACATCTTCCAAGATGACGTAGTTACCACTATACCCATGGCTAATACGGTTCCAAACGAAGGCCATCTTTGGACACTCGACAACATGATGGAATTCAAAGGAAGTTTAAACTCTACTCCTATATACGGTCTACCTAGTTACGCGTTGGTACCAAATATAAAATTAAACGATTCTGACAACATTTGTGAATACACTGTCAACGAAATGTTTTCCGTTATAATTCACAGTCCACACGAAATACCCGTGAATAACTATTTTGGTAGTGAAATACATGTGTATAAGAACATTAATGCTGACATCTTGATAACTCCAAAGATAACGTTAGCGAGGGACTTGGAGCAGTACACACCCCAACAGAGAGGCTGCTATTTCGTCCACGAGAAGAAACTTACGATGTTCAAATTTTACACAAAGTATAACTGCGATATTGAATGTTATATCAACTCCACCATCAGTTCGTGCGGATGTGTCCCCATGTTATACCCGAGGCCCAACGATTCTGTGAAGGTTTGTATTGCAAGATGTGATCCGAGGGTGCAAAACTGTGGATGTTTACCGGACTGCAATTCTCTCAAGTACGAATTTGTGACACAGGAATACCGATAAGTGAAAATGTGGTAGGAAATATCACCATATTTGCTTCCGCAGATATATTTTTCAACGAGAACTATTTCTACACAAATGTCCGCTACAGCATCACAAGTGCCAAAGAGTTCCTGGCCTACACGCTCGGCGTGCTGGGAGCGTTCCTGGGGTTCAGTGTTACTTGTGTGTGGAAACTCACATACTTGGGTGTCGCAAGACTGTTTCAACATGTGGGCGTCCCTAATAAAAATACAATAACTCCTAAACCAAATTAATAATTAATGGCAACAGGTTGGTGAATGGGCTATTTTAAGAACATTTGAGATATAGATTTGGATTGTACCCTATAGCAAAAAGTCAAAAAAGTAAACAAATGAACGGAGTGAAGGCTACCTATGTATACATCACTACAATCATCAAAACCATTTCAAATTCACGTTCGATTCTATTTCCTAATATTCTTCATGTATTGGCATTTGATTGTATGTGAAATTAAATTTCTAAAATGAGTTATTTATTTACCTCTTGTGTTTTTGGTTGTTCACTTAGCTCATAACATGGACTGATTATATTTACAAGGTATCAAGCATAACACTTCCTGCGCATGAGGCTTCAGCACCTTTACGTAGTTTGCCTTGCGCAGGGGTCAGTGATCGCAGCATTGCTGTTCAATACGTACTCTGCCAAACTTCCAAACACTAACTCTATGTGTCACATGACACTCTAGCATCACAGCAAAAACGAAATAATGCAGCAGAGGTGACACTTACTAAGTACCTCAAACCAACAGGGAATATTTTATAACTAGAAATTGAAATCAAACATTTGAATAAACTAGTTTTTCAAGTTTCCTGAAGCTCAGATATAAAACTTAAAATGTATATGTTGTACAGCTATCACCTATAAAACTACCAACAAATAATAAAGCCAAAGTAAGAATCAAAAAATATATCATGATAAGATATCAATGAGAAGCCAAAGCACAAGGGCGTATTATGGATTTTCTATGGGCATTGTCAGTAATTGACCTTAAGTAGGAAGTTTAAACTTCCTTTGAATTCCATCATGTTATCGAGTGTCCAAAGATGGCCTTCGTTTGGAACCGTATTAGCCATGGGTATAGTGGTAACTACGTCATCTTGGAAGATGTCTTTGTGTCGCAAACTGTTGAAAGTAATGCATATTCTTCTCTGAGACGAATAAAACTGCTGAAACACATCGCTATCACATCTGGATAGGTATAGATTAGACGCTGATTGTATCTTCATTCGAGTTACCAGAGACTCAGATGCACACGGAGGTACGATTTTCGAGATGTATTCTTTAAACTCCTCTTCGTCAAAATCATCTTCAACGTGACTTTGATTCCAAATATTTGGGGGCAGGCGATTGCGATGACCATATCTTTGACACATTTGGTAAGATAAGACGAGTCTTCTTAGTTCTGTGTAGTTGCAGGTGTCACTTTTGAGAGTACAATCACGGTTTTCACAGTCAAGACAGTTTTCAAATTTTCCACGAAAATCATAATCACGATTGAATTGGAAAGGCCTACATATTGAAACCGCAGGAAATGGTAAACTGTCGATGTGAACCTGGCTGTTAGACGTAGCTTGTACTACTGGGGATGATTGCCAACTATCTAGAGCAGTCTTGATATAATAACCACTGGCAATAGCTGCAAGCACGTGTACCAAGGCCCACAGAACGTTGTATGTCAGGTTCTGCTTAAATCTTCTAATATAGAAAGGTATGCGTTTAGGAAATAAGTTTTCTTTTAGAATAATTTTATTTTCAAAACCTGCCAACTGTTTTCTTCTGATAAGTTCTTGGATGTTCCTAACACTCACCTCAAGAGAATGAAGTTTGTCTTCGGTCGTGGATGCGCTGCACATATTTTCTTTAAAACTCACGTTAAGTAGAAACACTGTGGTAAAATAGTATATGTGTGGTAGTGTGTATATGCGTTTGGTTATTGAAACTGAAAGTGATCTTTGCAGAATAAGTTATAAAACATTCGAACTATATTTTATGTAACTGTCAAAGCGATTGTGAATGTATTGAAGTAATATTTGGGGATTTTTTGTTAAATATCGGAACACTACACAAGCAAGATTGCATGATTTTTCGCCGGCTGTTATATTGATAACGCTTAAATTTGTTAACTATTATCCTAAATATGTTATAGAGAACTGACTGTAATAATTTTGTTTCGCTTTCGATGTTTGCTCTGATGCTATCATCTCCACATTAGTTTAGATACTGGCGTTATCCGTTACATAAAATATTAACGTAACATGCTTGAATGTCGTGACAATCGTCGTTTATTTTTCGAATGACAATGTGGTAATCTCACTTTTACAAACATGACCACCTTTTGCAACTAAAGTAATTAAATGTCCCTGCGGTTATTAAATTACATATTTTATGATTGTATGAAATTTCAGACTATAGCTTTAGATTTAAATGTAATCAAAGTTATTTCTCAAATGTTCTTAAAATGGCAAATTCACCAACCTGGTGCCATTTAAAATTAATAATTTGGTTTAGAAGTTATTGTATTTTTATTAGGGGTCCCTAAATTTCCAAACAGTCTTGCGACACCCAAGTATACAAATTTCCACACACAAGTAACACTGAACCCCAGAAACGCTCCCAGCACGCCGAGCGTGTAGGCCAGGAACTCTTTAGCACTTGTAATGCTGTAGCGGACATTTGTGTAGGAATAGTTTTCCTTGAATCCTATATCAGCGGCACCCAATATCGTAACATTTCCTAACACCTCTTCACTCATCGGTATATCCTTTGTCAAAAATTCGTACTTGAGTGAATTGCAGTCAGGTAAACAACCACATTTTTGCACAGTCGGTTCACAGTTTGCAATACAAACTTTCACAGTATTGTTCGGCCTCGGGTACAACATGGGGACACATCCGCACGAACTGATGGTGGAGTTGATATAACATTCAACATCGCATTTATACTTTGTGTAAAATTTGAACATCGCAAGTTTCTTCTCGTGGACGAAATAGCAGCCTCTCTGTTGGGGTGTGTACTGCTCCAAGTCCCTCGCTAACGTTATCCTAGGAGTTATCACGATATCAACATTAATGTTCTTATGCACCCGTATTTCACTACCAAAATCAATATTCAAGGGTATTTCGTTTGGACTGTGAATTATAACGGAAAATATTTCATTGACCGTGTATTCACAAATGTTCTCAGAGTCGTTTAATTTTATATTTGGTACCAACGCGTAACTGGGTAGACCGTATATGGGAGTAGAGTTTAAACTTCCTTTGAATTCCATCATGTTATCGAGTGTCCAAAGCTGGCCTTTGTTTGGAACCGTATTAGCCATCGGAATAGTTGTAACTACGTCGTCTTGGAAGATGTCTTTGTGTCGTAAACTGTTGAAAGTAATGCATATTTTTTTCTGAGGCGAATAAAACTGCTGAAACACATCGCCATCACATCTGGATAGGTAAAGATTAGACGCTGACGGTATCCTCATTCGAGTTATCAGAGTCTCAGATTCACATGGAGGTAACATTTTTGAAATGTAATCGTTAAACTCTTCTTCGTCAAAATCATTTTCAACGTGACTGTGATCCCAAAAATTTGGGGGCATCGGATTGCGATGACCAAATTTTTGACACGTATGGTAAGCCAAGACGAGTCTTCTCATATCCGTGTAGTTGCAGGTATCATTTCTTAGAGTACAAACACGGTTTTCACAGTCAAGACAGTTTTTGAGATTTCTATGAAAATCATAGGCACGATTAAATCGGAAAGGCCAACAGACTGTTACAGCAGGAAATGGTAAACTGTCGATGTGAACCTGGCTGTTAGACGTAGCTTGTACTACTGGGGAAGATTGCCAACTATCTAGAGCAGTCTTGATATAATAACCACTGGCAATAGCTGCAAGCACGTGTACCAAGGCCCATAGAACGTTGTATGTCAGGTTCTGCTTAAATCTCCTGATATAGAAAGGTATACGTTTTGGAAATACATTTTCTTTAGTTTGCGTTTTCGAAAATAATCCCGTAGTAGACATTTTGTCACGTTCAAAAACAACATCTTCCACATCTTTTAGTTTGATATTTCTGTCGTAAAATCTTTCAATGACAAAATCTGCACCATGCAGTGTTAAGTGTATATTTTTATTTTCAAAACCTGCCAACTGTTTTCTTCTGATAAGTTCTTGCATGTTCCTAACACTCACCTCCAGAGAGTGAAGTCTGTCTTCGGTCGTGTTTGGGCTGCACATATTTTCGTTAAAACTCACGTTAAGCAAAAACACTGCGGTTAAGTTGTATGTGTATGGTTATTAAAACTGAGGGTGATGTGTTCAGAAAGAGTTATAAAACATTCGAACTATATATCTATGTAATTTCGTAACGAAACTTTACTTGTAACCGTCAAAGTGATTTTGATTGTATTGAAGTAATATTTGTTGAGTTTGTGGTTAAATAACGGAATATTAAACTTTTAACAAGATTGCGTGATTCGAACGGTGATAACGGTGCGTTGTCAGCGGTGAAATTAATAACGTTTAAATTTGTTGACTCTTTCTCTAAATATGTTACAGAGAATTACCAGAGTTTATATTTCGCTTTTGATAGAAGTGTTTGCTTTTGATGCTATCATATTCTCCGCATTTGTTTGGATGCTGACGTTTTCCTGTTACATAAAATATTAACGTGGTAATGGAAAGTCATAACAAACGCTGTTTAATTTTCGAATGACAATATGCTTATCTCACGTTCACTATCATGATCTGCGTTTGCAGCTTAAGTAAATAAATGTCCGTATCTTTTATGATTGAAACTTCACACGATAACTTTGCAAAAATATTGTTTGAAATAAATTAATACAGCGACGGAGTTATAGAATGATAATTAACTGTAAAAACACTTTTGAAGTAAACTGTTTTAGTGAATTTCCCTTTAGGGAAGTAGTTATTATTGTCGGTAGGTGGCAAGGTAAGACCTAGACCCGGGACCGATGTACTGTTTTATTTTGATGTCCGTAGAGGCCAAAACATTATTCGTTCAAACTTTTATACATGTATACAAAAATTTGAAGGAATACAGGTTTTTGGCCTCTGGAGACACGAAAAAGTAAAACGGGCTTAGGTCTTACTTTGCCACCTACCTAAGGTAAATAGCTTCCGTGGGTGCTATTCTCGCCTATAGGAAAATTCGCCAAAAGTAGAAAGGTTGTAAAAATAACAAAACATTAACTCAAAGAAGAACCCCACTCTAGCCTAACAAAAAATTACAAAACTACCAAAAACTTCCTAATATTTTATACGCTTGGTAAATAATAATTATTTGCCTATCCATATTTTACAGTGAAATGTAGTTAACCTTTTTAGTCTTCCCACAGAATCAGCATTCCAATACAATTTAAATTTCCAGATTGTAATCAAACTCCCTGGAACAATTTGATACTCTTATTCATTAGATCGAGACAATAAAAAACGTCACATAAAATGAGTTTATAATGCCTGGATTTTGATCTATCAGTATGTTTGTGTTTTTACTAGTGTAGCTTTGGTACTAATAGCTTTAGAACCCTTTAAATGATTGACATAACATAAGGAACACATATACAAAATATTTCCAGGATGTTAGTATATTTAGGTTAGTAGTATTTTGGTCAAATACATTTACATGTTTACACATATGTGCATTACATTGTTTGAATACATGTAATATT